AATGATTTCAGATTGTTTTAATAAATTCAGTTCGCATGAATTGCTGGATTAGTTGATGCATTCATATATTTTTCTTAATAAAAAAAAATATCACAACACATGTCGTATCCCAATCTACCAACGTTGATAAGCACACTTTTTATTCAACTTCTTTAAGATGTCGTGGTTCTTATTTTTTTATTCGTTTTCTATGGTTTATCAACTGTTTGAAGTTTATTTAAATCTAGAAAATACTTTTAGATTGTATTTTTTTTATATATAGATAATAGTAGTTTAGTGATACAACCCATACGGGGGAGAAGCGGTGGATCCAGACTTTTACCAAGGGTATTTGCAAGCAACTGAATATGACGGAAATCGGAACTAGCTTCTCCGATTAAAAATTCCGAGCCATTGTCCACTACACTACTCGAACATGCAAGCTTACGTGATCTGTTATACCAAAACGGTCACCATCTAAGTACTGACCTGTTAACGAAAGGATTTTAACATTCTCATCTGATATTGAATAAATATATTTTCGTGTCAGTCAATTTCCGATCGGAAATGAAAAAAGATCACAGCTTTTACAACAAATTCAAATAGATTGTTTAAAAACAAAAATATCTTTGTTTGTTTAATGATTAATTTTTATTTTACCGGAGGGAAGAACTTACCAGTCATAACTCATAAATATTTATTTTATTCTATTTTAACACATTTACTTTTAATAAAATACATGGAATCGACACCAGAAGTAAGTGAAAATATACCTTAATCATGGCTGGCTCACAATGTGAAGTGCCATGAGTCCCACGACCGGGCTTGATCGTAAATTTGCTGAGCATCTGATCAGATCTCTACATATATCTCAGTTGAAGCTCTCAGTTCAATTTTTTTCCTCTGTTGCTGGTATAATTTAATAGATTACCTTGTTGGATGCTAATGGAATGATAATTGTCTTTTACGACGTGTGTATACAAGGCATGTCGAACTGAGGGTCACATGTTTTCTTTAGGGCTACACACGACAACCAATTGTGCATATTACAGCTAAATGGAGTCATTTAATAATATTTATTGCAGAATATTTTTGTTAAATTTAGAAACCCAAAATGTGCATACAATTGTTATAGCAGGATTCATGTATACAAAGTAATGGAGTAGATTGATAAAAAAAAATAAACGAACAACGTATACTTAGTTTGCAGTAGCAACAGATACGTTGTATAAAAATTACAACAATCCAAAACTGAATATTTATCTGTCACTATTCAATTTTAATTATTTGCCGTTAGGCTTTGACACCTTTTTTTTGCTGACAATTTTTAGTATGTCTGGCTGAAATGGCTGTGAACTTCCGACTTTCATTAGATTAAAAATGTAGATCAGTTAACGTTATACTCTCAGAAGTTTTTCTTTCATTATTTTATGAAGGAATATAATTGTTCACACACATACAGAATCAAACATTGCCTTAATCTTTGCCACAAACTTTCTGAAGTTTTTAAGATCTTCAAGAAGGTATGAAAAGAACCCTGATATTCCTACTTCAAGGTACTTTGCTCTGAGTGAAGAATCCGACTGCATTTTTAATAGATCCATCTAAAGGCTTTCTTCTGTCTTGGCAACATCAAAGATGAATGGTGCTGAGAATAACGTCAGCCGATGTTTAAATGATGCGAAATCAGTAAATCTTTTCTGAAATTCCTTTGACAACAATTCCAGTTGATTGTCATACTTTACAAACCTAAGTATAGTCTCGGTATTGGCATTGTTTTTCAGCTCGTTGTCCGTAAGAAAATGAACTAGATTTTAATTTTACATTTGTGACGCCCATAAGTTTAGTTTTGTAATGTTATAGTACAGGTGATCATAAAACAGTGATACGTTTGGTTTTACCGTGTACTTTCAAATTAATACCTGTCATCTATACTGTAATACCCACAGCAAATGCCGGATCTTGGGGCCAAATTTTTATCTTTTACTTAATTAGTTTTCATCTCCAAAAGCAGTAATATTGTCTCAACAAATAGTAATGTTTTCAGTATTTTGTGACATGACCACCAGTTGACATCTGTGTAGAACAGATCATCGGTGAAATGATTATCCACATCTTCCAAAAACTGACTGAACTGTCGGTGGTTAAGAGCACGGCCTCTGTTATAGTTCACTGCATCACCAATTATCACATGTTCTAAATTTAAAATATTTGAACATATTTTTGCTATTAAATGATACAGTGAAAATGTGTCACTCTGAAGCAACCCCATTATATTTGCCAACCATAATCACACGATCCTCAGCAGCTAAGCATGCAAGTTTACTCAAATCAAAACTATACTAATGCAGAACCTTCTCTCCCTCTCTCTGTCTTTCCACTCTCTCTGTCTTTCCACTCTCTCTGTCTTTCCACTCTCTCTGTCTTTCCACCCTCTCTGTCTTTCCACCCTCTCTGTCTTTCCACCCTCTCTGTCTTTCCACCCTCACTCTCCCTCTCCTCACTCTCCCTCTCCTCACTCTCCCTCTCCTCACTCTCCCTCTCCTCACCTCTCCCTCTCCTCACCTCTCCCTCTCCTCTCTCCACCCTCTCCTCTCTCCACCCTCTCTCCCTCCATATATATATATATATATATATATATAACACATCCAGTTATAAGAACAGAGTACTATTGTAATGTTCGTAACATTTAATTAAAAAGAGGGGTCACTACAAAGTAGGGAAATATTAATTTTAGGACATTACACCGAAAATGTTAAAATCGCTTCACAATTGCAGTCGTGTGTCGATGCATCGAAATTGACAAGTTTTCAGTGCAATGTCCTAAAATTATATATATATATATATATATATATATATATATATATATATATATATATACACACACACACAGTGAAACATCCACATCATAATCGGCTCTGCAAAATAGACTGGCGTGAAACTGATAGTTATCTACAGTCCATGTGTCACTGCACATCTGATTCCTAAGGGAATTTGGCAAAAGAAAAAACGCTCCTTCTCAGTAATTATATATTTTTATTGTTTTTTTAGAACTGATCCATAAGATTACTGACTTGACATTTTTATTTTATTTATGAATGTATTTGTTTTAGTCCTTTTGTTATATCATTAATTCATTTACTTGGTTTTCATATTTTTCTGTCGTATTGCCAATATGTAGAACCAATAATTAATATACAAAATTAATTTGCACTAAAACAAAACTCTGTATGTTGCGTTTGATAAATACATTTTGAATCCGGTTATGATTTTATATGGGTTGGGCTAACCTTTTTGTCTTATTTGGGGAGTTTGCTTACACTTTTCAGCACCTTATTTTCATTCCCTTCCCCACGTCTAGATTATCTCTGTTTATTTATTGAATTAAAATTTCTTTTATTAATTTTTTTTTAAATACGTTTTTGCAAATATCTTCGGTTCTATGCTGAAGTCAATCTAAGTTTTAAATCTTTTCGAAAAATATAAATTTAACGTAATGGAAAATTCCTTAAATTATATATGGGTATACAGAGTACATATATTTTTTAATGGGGAAACTGTAATCTTATTTTAGTCAGCATCGTATGAATTAGAGGAAATACTTCAAGTTAATTAAATTCCGCTTGAATGAAAGTACTTGTTATATAGAATATTCCTCAGACGAAACTCAATAAAGAAGTTAAATTGAATGATGGCGTAGTTTATTTGTTTACAATCATTTCTACTTCGATCGCCGTAATCCTGATACTTCAAAATTAGTTGCTTAAACTCAGTTTGTAAAAAATTCCATCAACTTGTTTATTGACAAGGAAAAGATTTTCTTTAAATCGTTACCAGTTGTTGATACGTCTTTATGCGCACATTTCAGTTGCATACATACTTTCGCCAACCTGAAGATGGAAAAGCGAATGGCTGAAATGTAAAATTAGAATAAATGAAAACCCATCTCTGCTGTGTCTGTGGAATTCTCAAATTATTGCTATGTGTTTTAAAATGTTGATTGATAAATATTCTAGAATCTGGCCTACACTTATTTTTCATTCCCGTTAATACATTTTAGAGAATTTGCATTCAATAAAAATGGTTTTGAGTACTGTTTACTATTTCTAATACTTGGCATATTCTAAGGCAGTGGTACTTAAACGGCGCGCTGAAGCGGAATGATTGAAAGCCAATCAAAGATTTAGAAATAGTTTCAAAAAATTCATATGCTAAAAATTTTCAAAATTTAAAATATTATAGATTACTTGTAATCGTATGCATGAGACCCACTATAAATAATTATTGAACGATTTTATCATTGTGATAAGTTTGCATTGTATAAAGTATTAAGAACATAGTAACTAGGCTCCGTATATTGGAGGAGAGTGTTATCAATGATAATATTTTGACATCGAATCCGAAAGAGTTTAAAAATGAGATCATTTTTTAATTTTTAAATGTACCTTTTATCACACAAAATTTCGTGAGGTACAAGCAAATTTTAATTGCACAAATGCGGCCTAGAGACAAGTTTGGAAACCAATTTTCTAAGGGATATTAAATAAGTTTAAGATCATTCCAGATTTTACTTTATTTTTGTGTTCAGAATTAGTGTTGTTATTATTTGTTGGTTTCCCCATAAAGATTTCGTAGAATATAAGTGTGCGTTAGTATTAACATTTCAAGATATTGTAAAGTGTAGTTTTATTCTATCAACCATTACCTATTCTCTTTCAAAGGGAATTTTTATACACATGAATTCGGGATACCGATGGGTTCAACACACAGTGGAGTACCGGTATTCTTAGTAAGGCCACTCCTTTCAGTGTATACTCCGAAAAGACGCAACGCAACTTCCGATATATTGACGATGGCCCTACTAATACACTTATAATAATAAAAATAATTGTTGAGAGATTAAACAATGTAAAAGACAATGTATTTCACCTACAAAACGGACGAAAACTACATCTTACCATACCTTGACATAATATTAAAACGCAAACACACACAGATAAATGTTTATCGAAACAAAGCAAATGACTATATACTTTTCCACCTCTCTCTCTCTCTCCACTACTTTTCCACCTCTCTCTCTCTCCACTACTTTTCCACCTCTCTCTCTCTCCACTACTTTTCCACCTCTCTCTCTCTCCACTACTTTTCCACCTCTCTCTCTCTCTCCACTACTTTTCCACCTCTCTCTCTCTCTCCACTACTTTTCCACCTCTCTCTCTCTCTCCACTACTTTTCCACCTCTCTCTCTCTCTCCACTACTTTTCCACCTCTCTCTCTCTCTCCACTACTTTTCCACCTCTCTCTCTCTCCACTACTTTTCCACCCTCTCTCTCTCTCCACTACTTTTCCACCTCTCTCTCTCTCCACTACTTTTCCACCTCTCTCTCTCCACTACTTTTCCACCTCTCTCCCACCTCTCTCTCTCTCCCTACTTTCCACCTCTCTCTCGCTCTCCACTACTTTTCCACCTCTCTCGCTCTCCACTACTTTTCCACCTCTCTCTCTCTCCACTACTTTTTTCCACCTCTCTCGCTCTCCACTACTTTTCCACCTCTCTCTCTCTCCACTACTTTTCCACCTCTCTCTCTCTCTCCACTACTTTTCCCCCTCTCTCTCTCCACTACTTTTCCCCCCTCTCTCCCCTTTTCCCCCCTCTCTCTCTCCACTACTTTTCCCCCCTCTCTCTCTCCACTACTTTTCCCCCCTCTCTCTCTCTCCATTACCCGACCTTTCCCACCATCTCCACCACCCTACCGTCTCCACCTCTCACCCACCACAAAAATATTTTTGCATAATTTATTTGTGGATCAAGTGATATGAAAGAATTCATGTGTTTCAATCAAGAAGACTATGATATAACATTTAAATGTGTTAATTTAAATGAAGCGGCTATTTTTATTTTGTTTAATTGGGGTTCCGTGTTAAATCTCTTAAAAGTAATGTAAGTTAGAACTGTATAGCACTATCAAAAATTTCTCTGTCACTAAAGCAAAAATTTCTGAAAGTGCAATTGTTTTCGTCAACAGAAAAAAAACTTTCTATAGGGGCAATCAGTTGGCCTCAACAAAATTAGTAGCAAAGGAAAAAAAAACAGATGGTAAATACGCTCGTGTGGCGCTTTACATTTCCGCCCGCAAACAATGAAGAAACTTATGGACACCTACAACAGATGAAACCCGTTCAAGTAGATTGAGAAAAAATACCAAGAGGGTAAACTTTTTACCTCATAGACGACAAATGTTTGATAAATAGTGACCTGAAGTGTTTAAGAATGAACAGATCAATTAGGATATCTGCAGTTTCCTTAAAATGTATTTATTTACCGAGCAGGCCGTGCGACTATCGTTTAAGGAAAAGGGGTTTACTCATGTCGATCAACTGTTATGATACACTTTCCAGTATGGAATGTGGATTATTTCATAAACTGCTGCTTGAATTTGTGTGAAACATTATCTTGATTATGGCGTTATTTATACTTCAAGTTACATGCAATATCTCTCTACACGCTTCCTGATGATGAGTGCCCATGTGATGTTGTTTTATTTGGATAGCATTTTGTGATTGCGTAGCGTCAGTTCATCGTTTTTGAAGGAGGAGGATTCTAAGACCTACAGTCTTCACTTGTTCAAAACAATTTTTAATCATTGCTCTGAGAAAGCGATTTTACGTAGTTGGCGGTTTCGTGACTCGTATAACCGACCTGCATATACGTATTCCTATATTTGAACGCTTTCTATTCTACGTCTGTAAAATCTGCATATTATGTTAGAAGAAAATGATAAATAAACATTGATAAAATATATGTAACTTGTCTTAAGTTCGATCACAGCTTCTGCAGTTTTCATCAGTGCTCTTTATCTTGGTCAACTCGTCAGGAATAAGCAGCACGAACAGTAGACGGAATGGCGGTAATCCTGTTGCCGTAATTCATCTTGAACTGATGTTATTTCTTCTTTTCCCAGCTCAAGAGGTCATCCCCGTTCTGCAGACCTGAGTTCAGCTTTATATTTTTCTTTGCTGCCTAGAATCTTTGCAGGAATTTTCCTAAGGATTGTAGAGCCCACAGCTGGCGATCTCATTAACTTGCATGCAGCTGGTTAGTTTAACATTATTACAGTGCATTGTCGTCAAAAGCATTTCATTTGCTTGCATGCAGGTTTGAAATGTAAGTAACTATTTATACAACACATACACGCACGCACATACATACATACATACACACTAGTCCATCCTTATATGCGTGTGTGTGTCTGTTCACTTCGAATTATATTTGTATACGGAAACAAATTAGCCACTGCATGTGGAGCAGAACGTATGGCCTTAACGAACAGCCTCTTATAAAAGCAACTCTGCTGTCTACAGGGAACCCTCGGGGATAATTTAAACTTATCCGGCGGTAGTTATATGGTGAATAAATTAAGAGAAAAAAAGTATATCGTGATAGAAATAAGAAAAATACGCATTAAATAAACACTATTTATTACATGAGCAACCTTTTATAAGAAACTCTACTCAAATTTGAATAAATCTTTAACAACCTAACTAGCGACAACAGTGTGTCTTAAGCAACTGAAAAGTACAAAGATAGACTTAAAATAACACAAAAAATAGTTACATTTTCTACTATATATAAAAATTCTACCGATTCTGAGATTTTAGATTTATATATTATTCTTTTAGCTGGATCATTTTTCCTCTGCAACCTATTTAAGCAACAACAAATTTATTCGTAAATTTTTACCAACCCGTTTACTGATCAAATGCTAAGTTTATAATTTCTTTATATTTCTAAGGTATATATGCTATTAATAATTCTAGTTGGATTATTAAAAAATCCTCATACATAGTTCCGTCCCTGTTAACGTCTTTATCTGTTAATAATTTTCTTCAGAATAAATTCTTATGAATTTAGAATGTGTTCTAAGTTACTAGTAGATGAAGTTTATATTTGTTTTATGCTGTATATACAGCCTTTCCAAACATATATGCTTACATCCCTCAAGCGCAATCACATATTCGATATATTCAAAAGCTTTTCAACGGTGTATTAAATGTTACATTTTACTGGATCCTGGAAGTGAACACCATTGATTGCAACGGTTTCGCGACACAGTTTTCGATGTTTAATTGTAATCAGAGTAGAGCAAATTTGTCGTCTATTTGCGCTGGAGATGTCCTGTTTACTTCACCAATGTTAGCTAGAAAGCTTCAGAGGACATTTGATTTTGTGCTTTAAAGATGCTTATATACATGTTGACATAGCTGCTTAGGTCTATATGGTTACTATGTTTGCTCAAGATACATGTCTATGCTATAGTTATGCCTCAGTTCTGCATTAGTCAATTTGAGGCTTCTGATGGCATCTTCACCTTATCAGATTTATCTAGCTCCTCTCGTCGCCTGGGTATAATGATAAACATCATCCAGCAGCAACGCCTCTGATCGGGAGATTTTTAAATTAAGGGTAGTTTGGCGAATGATCTCGATATATCTGAATATATTCGTTACATTTATGTAGGAGGAAGCGCCACACGCGAAGTAAGGCTACATGTTGAAGTCATTTTTGTCTTTAGAAGTGGAAGAGAACGGTTAACCCTAGCCTCGAACTGGTTAAGTGATCCGGGGGAAATACCTAGTTGGGAGTTGGTTCCATAGGCCAGTTGGTTCGCGGGAAGAATCTGCTTGAGTGAAACTTCTCACTGATCGAATACGGACGGAATGTGGGTGGTTTGTAAGTGGCATGGCGTGTTCTTATTAAGAAAGTTTGCCTCGGTGGGACCAGGCAATGAAGTGCGTCCGAGCACTTTTCTTTTGAAGTAGCGTTAGAGCAGCGAGAGGACTGTCATATTCCACCGGTGGTAGACAGGTTCAAGGGCAGAAAAGAATTCATCACACACAAGGGCACGTAGACACTTTTGAACTCTATCAAGTGTGGGGTCTGGGCAGCTCTCGTCCAAATAAGACAACAGTACTCAATTTTTGACTTGATCTGTCTCTTGTGAAAGTAGAGGATAGCAGAAGTCGGGTACTTACTGAAGCGGTAGATTAACTGCATCCTTAGCAATGGATTGCATGTACTTGAAACCAGGAGTGAGTGATGCCCAACCGTCTTTCAAGGCATGATGCTTCCCCGAGAGGACCTCCGTTCAACCTGATTGTTGGTGGTTCTCAGTTAGGTCAGCGATGACGGAGCATAACTAGCTTGTTCTTTGAGGCATTGGATGTAACCAACCAGTCCCCCTCCATTGGGTAGTTTGGCGTCTAATCTCTCTTCCGATGCCACACAATCACTGCCGATCGGGAATTTCAGCGGTGCGCCTGAATATAGTCGTAACATCGGCACAAATGTTCACACATGATCTGAGTATATTCTTTACATTTATGTAGGTCAAAAAGAGGGTTAGTCCGAGGCATGACCTCTGGGCAACGCCTGTATTGACCACTACGACTACGCGCATGAATGTTGTTAGGTGATTGCAATTTTGTTTTGACGGAGGTAATCACGAAGCTAAAGAGTTTACTCTGGATGATTTAGCCATATCTAGAGAATTGTCATAATGGACACTGTGCAAAGTGGTAAGGATAATTTTTTGAGATAATTAAGGTGTGGGACTGAGGTTAACAAAACTATGTTTATGTCTACGTTCTCCCTATATGTCTCTATCCAAATCTCTATATCTTTCTGTGTCTTTCTGGATGTGTGTATTTCTGTTCCCACTCTTTCCCTTTCTGTCCCCTGTCTCTTTCTGCGTCTATCTGTCCCCTGTCTCTTTCTGTGTCTCTCTTTCTGCGTCTCTGTGCCTGCCTGTCTGTGTCTCTCTCTGTGCCTGCCTGTCTGTGTCTCTCTCTCTGTCTGTGTCTCTCTCTCTGTCTGTGTCTCTCTCTCTGTCTGTGTCTCTCTCTCTGTGTCTGTGTCTCTCTCTCTGTGTCTGTCTCTCTCTCTGTGTCTGTCTCTCTCTCTGTGTCTGTCTCTCTCTCTGTGTCTGTCTCTCTCTCTGTGTCTGTCTCTCTCTCTGTGTCTGTCTCTCTCTCTGTGTCTGTGTTTCTCTCTGTCTCTGTCTCTCTCTCTCTCTCTGTGTGTCTCTCTCTCTGTGTGTCTCTCTCTCTGTGTGTCTCTCTCTCTGTGTCTCCCTCTCTGTGTGTCTCTCTCTCTGTGTCTCTCTCTCTCTGTGTCTCTCTCTGTGTGTCTCTCTCTCTGTGTCTCTCTCTCTCTGTGTCTCTCTCTCTCTGTGTCTCTCTCTCTGTGTGTCTCTCTCTCTCTGTGTCTCTCTCTCCCTCTCTGTGTCTCTCTCCCTCTCTGTGTCTCTCTCTCCCTCTCTGTGTCTCTCTCTGTGTCTCTCTCTCTCTCTGTGTCTCTCTGTCTGTCTCTGTCTCTCTGTCTGTCTCTCTGTGTGTGAGAGAGACTTATATATGAAGTTTCTCCCTTTCAATCGGTCCAGAAGAATAGTGAACCTGACATGGGTATATTGCATAAATTTTTTACATCAAATTTCAGTGAATAATACAATATATGTTGCTTTAAGAGACATCAAGTGACTAATTATATTGGGAAAGGAGGATATTATTTTGTTACAAACTTTGTGTAAATGAAGCCGTTTCATGCGATTGCGGGCGATGGATTGCCGCAACACTTTTATTACACTATCGCTATTTCTATGGTAAATATTCACACGAACTATATTCCTTAACTTCGCCAATTCAAACCTTTACAACTCGGGCCCTCTATGCCACGCACAAAGTGGAATTATCCTCAATCCCTTCGTATTACAACGGTAAGAAGGGAGTTCCCATCAAA